ATAGATAGATAGATAGATAGATAGATAGATAGATAGATAGATAGATAGATAGATAGATAGATAGATAGATAGATAGATAGATAGATAGATAGACACCCTCCCGCCACGCAACATAATTTTTTGACATAGCCAAACGGCCCGACACTTTTTTCATATTACTGAAGTTTTGTGAAAAGCAAACCATCCTCGACGACGAGTGTCGGCGTGGACGTGTTGAGACCGTCAAGGGGAAACAGAAGCCCGCCGGTCGACATGGCATCGAGCGCCCACAGCAGCGTCGTCGTCGAGTTGCGTGCGAAGTAGACAGGCGCCGAGTAGGCACCGTACTGGAGCTGGAGTCCACCGCTCTCGCCGCGCGAGATGGTCGCGTTGCGATAATACTCGGTCGAAATCGTCGCCACATACGTGCCCATCAGAGCGTTCTGGGTGACGGCCGGGATCGAATCGCTGAGCTCGGCCCACGACGTGCCGTCAAAGATCCGTGGCGCGCACGGCGTTGATGGACGCCGCGCCGTTGCAGCTGCCGTCGCTTCTTCCAGCCCGCGAATCAGCGTCCGCTCGGGAATATCGAGGAAAATGCCCGCGAGGTACGTCCGCATGCGGTCTGACAAGACGGCGTCATCGAACGGCCCGCCAAGGGTCTCGGCGTTGGCAAGCAGCACGACACCGAGCTGCTCCTTGGGCAAAAAGCCGTTCCGCGTCTTGAACGCGATCATGTCGCCGCCCTTGTCAAAGTATTGGTGATCAAACAGAACGGCGCTCGTAACGTCAAAGCCATAGCCAGCAGCCATGGCGCCACCGTCGGAAGAGTACGCGTAGCCCAAGACGTTGGCTGTCGAGACAGCCATCGGAACAATGTTGTGGCCCGTGATCATCGTGCTGATCGTCGCGGGCGAGCGAAAGATGCCATCGCCCTTCGAGAGGAGGAACTTGGAGAAGATCGCGAGGTCCGCCGCGGTGGAGATGATCGAGCCCGATGCGTCGCGCCCGTTCTTGTACCCCAGTGCAATCTCGGGCGACGACCGCAAATGATACGGTCCAGCCACTTTGCCGTTACAGATGACGTGGCCGAACGAGAGGTCGCCATTTAATGGCACGTCCGGCACCGATGCAAACGTGTTGGTCATCTGAAGCGGCTGGAAGAAGGTTGTATCGAGGTACTGGGCCCATGTGGTATTTGTTTGGTACGCAATGACTTGGCCAAGGATCACAAAGTTCAAGTTGGCGTAGGCGTATCCGGGACGGAGACGCCGGGTCGTCTGGAAGCGGCGCAGCGACCGCACAAGCGTCTCCTCGTCCGTGTACAAGCCCACGTTTAACGCAAGGTCGCCTTCGTAAGCACCAAACACCGAGTTCATGGCCGCAAGGTCGCCGAGCGTCGTGTACTTCTCCGCGTACTTGTCGACAAGCTCAAACCACGGAAGGCGGAGCTTGACCGGGTCGTCCCAGCTCAAGCGGCCTTCGTCGACCTACGACAGTCGGTTG